CTCTCTCTCTCTCTCTCTCTCTCTCTCTCTCTCTCTCTCTCACACACACACACACACACACACACACACACACACACACACACACACACACACACACACACACACACACACACACACACACACACACACACACACACACACACACACACACGAGCTTTGAGATGCAGGTTTCTTTTTTTTATGTATGAAAATGGAAATAACAAAAAAAATCTCTTAAAATACCACTACTTCCAAAAAAAAAAAAAGAACAATCAACAATCTATACACATTGCATGTACTCGTTAAAGTGACTGAGCCAGTTAGAATTCTAGACAGTAGTTGGATTTAGCAGCAAATTCTCTTCTCAATAAATATAGATGTACAGTATATAAATGTCTCTTTTGGGCCAGGTTCAGGCCAGACCTGGGGAGGGGGGGTTTGGTGGCACTGTGGACGAGTTTCCCAAGAAGCTTGGGGGGAGTGATGATGATGCCCCACGTCAACATCCATTCCTGGTTACTGATCCTTCGGCGAGACTGTACAGCTAGGAGACTCTTCTCAAATTAAAAAAATACAGTCCAGAGAATCTAAAACAGCATGCTCTGTCTTCTGCTCTTTCCGTTGCCTGAGGGGAGACAAAGATAAAAGCATTAATTTTGTTTTCATATAGTTTACAGCAGAGGACGTCTAAGCCAGACTCCGTGGATCCCCAACACAGGGACAACATCCAAATGGAGGGATAGTCAGAAAGGAAGGAAGAACAATTCCCATAATGCATTGAGGGTTGTAAACAGGAAGTAAAATGGATTCTGTGAGTTACCCTATGGATGAGCACCTCACGGGTTGAATAACTGGTTCACAGGAAAAACAAAAGCAGTCAAAGTATTCATACTTGCATCATCTCTCACCTGACTCGGGGTATGACGAGTTCCGGTAGCCGGGATCTCTCTGCATCTGCACCTCCTTCAGTGTGAATATGGATATGCCTACCAGACACACAGACAAGAGAATAGTGTCTTTTGTTACGAGGCTGGAACTGATCCTCACTGTACACTGCAATATCCTTCAACTTGTACCGAGCAGAGCCTGCCAAGTCTGCATTACTGCGTTGCAACTTCATTACTCACTCTCTGGCAGCGTGTGCACACGTGGCCCCAGGCTCCTGAAGTACGGCTGTCTCATTGCTTCATCAGCAGATATCCTCTTTTTCGACTCATACTGAAATTCAGGGCAGGAAAAAAGAAAAGAAACGTACAGTCATTTAAAGAACAAAAAGAAAATGGAGTCAGCGATGTGCGATTGTGCCACTTCTCTCCTAAAATAGCTGCAAGATGTGTCACACTGCTTTCAACATCCCAGTTATGCCTGGCAGATGAAGAGAGACTCACTTTTAGGAATGACAGCAGCAGGTCGATGCCATCAGTGTCCAACCTGGGGGGGGGGGGGGGG